ACATAATAAAGTACCAATTTGAAATGAAGGCTACAAGAACTGAAATGAAGAAAAAGTTACAGGGAATCAAAAGTAGAGTAGAGGACACTGAAAATCAAATCAGCAATTTGGAACATGAGGAAACAAAAAACACCTAACCAGAAGAGAAAAAGAAAAAAAGAATCCAGAAATATGAAGATAGTATAAGGAGCTCTAGGACAACTTTAAAAGGCCCAACATTCATATTTTTGGGGTGCCAGAAGAAGAAGGAAGAGAGCAAGAAATTAAAAACCTATTTAAAAACCTATTTGAAAAACCTATTTGAAAACTTCCCCTACCTGGGGAAAGAAATAGACTTACAAGTCCAGGAAGCACAGAGGATCCCAAACAAGAGGAACCCAAAGAGGCCCACAGCAAGACACATCAAAGGTTAAAGACAAAGAGAGAATCTTAAAAGCAGCAAGAGAAAAGCAGTTAGTTACCTACAAGGGAGCACCCATACGACTGTCAGCTGATTTCTCAACAGAAACCTTGCAGGCCAGAAGGGAGTGGCAAGAAATATTCAAAGTGATGAAAAACATGGAACTACAACCAAGATTGCTCTACCCAGCAAAGCTATCATTTAGAATTGAAGGTCAGATAAAGAGCTTCTCACACAAGGAAAAGCTAAAGGAGTTCATTACCACCAGACCAGCACTACAGGAAATACTGAAGGGTCTTCTTTAAGAAGAAGCTAATGAACAAAAGAATCTGATGAACTAAATAGATCCAGAGACATTGACGCATGTAACAGACAATCATGTTTTCAGAGGAAAGAGGAAAGGAGGGTGGAGGGTGGGAAGAGGTTAACCAAAGAAGTTATATGCATATAAGCATAACCCATGGACACAGTCAATAACAGGGTGAAGGCCTGGGGAGGGGGTGGGAGCGAGGTGGAGGGGGTCAATTGGGAGGAAAAAATTGGAGACCTGTAACACTTTCAACAATAAAGATAAATTTTTTAAAAAAGAACATATATGGATAAATGAAACCTTCAGGTATCTAAAATGAGTACTGCTGTTAATATCAAATACAACTGCCAGTAAATTTTACCAAAGTTATTACCAAATAGTAAAAATAAATGTCTGAATTTCACACTGTATTTCCTTGGGTTCCTTCTGGTGTAGATGTTAATGTGCAGTAACATGACTACAGAAAAATTATTCCAATCCTAGAACACATTAAAACTACCTAGGGATGGCAGGCCGGGCGTGGCTCAGTGGTTGAGCTTCAACCTAGGATCCAGGAGATCACGGTTCGATTTCCTGTCAGGGCACATGCCCAGGCTGCAAGTTTGATCCTCACCTGAGGGCATGCAGGAGGTAGCCAATCAGTGACTCCCTCATCATTGATGTTTCAACTCTCTCTCTCCCTCTCCCTTCCTCTCTCTGAAACCAATAAAGATATTTTTTAAAAATTAAAAAATTAAAATTAAAATAAATAAATAAATAAATAAATAAAATCATCTAGGGAGAATTTTTTAAATATATGATGTCCAGGCTCTGAAACCAGGGATTCTGATTCAGTTAGTCTGAGGTAGTGTCTCTACCTTGATACTTTTTTTTAAGTGTCACAGATTATTTTAAGATAAAAGCAAGGTTGAGAAGTTCTGGGTTACTTTAAGAAACAGAATTTAAAGAAAGAACCATTCTGACCTAAAAGTCAGCTGAGCTATTGAAAGTCTCAATTTAAAGGAACATGAAGAGTTCTAGGAGAGTCTGGCGAGACCACTTCAGTATCATCTTTGTCCTCTAACATAAAGTCTATACCCATTTAAGGTCCACCATGCTGGGGAAATAAAGATAAATAAGACACGGCTTCTTTTTTCCTAGTAGTTCACCTTGTTACATGATTAAGAGAAGTTGGAACAAAGTCTTTAAAGGAATGTCTAAGAATTTCTAAGAATTCAATATACTTATCACAAAAATAATTCTGCACAAGAAAAATTGCATTACTCTCCAATTCTGCTGGGAAATACCAGGTTAAAACTTTTTTGTTTACCTTGGTCTATTGCCAGGACCGTAATGTTATACGCATCATTTCTGGGAGTTGTGGCCTCCCTGTCCAGAATTTTGATAGTTTGGATTGACCCTGACATTTCATCAATGGTGATCCACCCTTTAGGATCATGCAATGTTTTGTACCTGTTAATAAAAAGTAAAAGTAGCCTTTAGTAGTATAAAATGTATTAAAATAAGTTACTGTCCCAACTGTTTCAAATACATTGTCCGTATGTGGTTACAGATTTCTCTGTACCTTATACCGCTGCTACTTCTAGTTTCGGGGTCATATGCCTTATAACCATTCATCTTGGACCCCACTGCTGAATTTTCTTTAATCCGTACGTATTGGGCTGCAGGGTTGCATTCAGGCCCTTCATCCTGGTCCCTCACATGAACTGTGACCAAAGCTCTGTTCATGGTTGTCCTGAGTGCAACATCTCTAGTAAAAGGGGCTTCATTGCTTACTCCAATTTCCAGGATCACCTGATGGTTTTCTTCAAAATTCAGTGGCTTTAAAAAGAAATACATGTATTCCAGTATGAGTGTAAAACACATTTGATATTTCAAATAACATGTGAACTCTGGTCAGTATAAACAGTACTGAGTACATTCCAGGTTCCCATTTAGTCAATATTGGCTTTCCTCCTTTGCTAAAGAGAGAAGCGATTATTCACTAAGCCTTTAGCAAGAGTGGCCCAAAAGTTTCTACAGATGGTTTACAAAGTTATGAAAAAGCAATTCTTTAAATACTTTTATGCTTCATTCTTACTTAAAAAAAATTATTCTCAACCTAGAGATAATGAAGAAAAAAAGAGTGTTCTATATCCCTGCTTTAGTGCAAACAGACCAGCTTATGGGTCAGCAGACTCTAAGAGAATAGAACTTTGTTTGACTTAGTATTTACTATTGACTAGGGCCCAGATATTTTACAGTTCTGATAAAATTAGATGTCTACTTAAACAAAACTGAAAAGGTGCAATGATCTTATTTTCTCTCTGATAGAAATGATATTCCTAATGCATGCTTTAATACATGAATATATTCCTATCAGGCATATAGCTGAGCAATCTTATTTCAGCTTTCCCTTTTCTCAAAACCAATCCAAGGTCTCATTTCTTCTTAGGAATTTGCTTTGTCTTTTTTGCTGGCTCCGTCATTAATGAGTTAAGTAGAACTTTTACCCATGCTCACTATTTTTATGAAAATCATGTTGTGACAATTTGAGAAGTACACTTTGGCATTGTAGTTTATCCCAAGAAACTCTCACAGTGAAAACCAAGTTGAATAAGAGAAATATGATACTCTTAATGGTGCTATTATTATGATCATGTCTGTTTTTCAGAGCACGAAAGTGGAGACGAGGAGATGAGCTGATTTTCCCAAGGCCAAAAGATTCTCATCTAAGCTGGAGTTTAAAGCCGGATAGTTTGGCTTGAGTTCATTTCCTTAATCGCCACACTATAATTCTTCTGCTACTCTATGCTGTTTAACTGGTTCATTGGCCTCTAAAATTTTTTAAATCAACCCTTTGATTACAGTTCATTTTCAGACAATACATCAAGCAAAACCCATAAAACTATTTTACACAAAAGTTGAAGCACTTTTTCTTTGATTCTCTTTCTGTTTATCAAAACAGTGCTGGCGGACAGTCAGAGAAAGACAAGGACCATACAATTTTACTCATAGGAAGAATCTAATGAACAAAATAAAATAGAAACAGACTCATAGATACTGAGAACAGACTGACAGCTGTCAGAGGGGAGGGGGGTAACAGGGCTGGGTGAAAAAGGTAAAGAGATTAAGAAAAAAAAAACCCTCATAGACACAACCAACAGCCTGGTGATTATCAGAGGGAAAAGGGGTGAAGGGAGGGAGAAAATGGTGATGGCAGGAGACTTGACTTTGGGTGGTGAACACACAATACCAATACAGATGATGTATTATAGAATAATATATCTGAAGCCTATATAATTTTATTAATCAATGACACCCAATAACGTCAATAAAAAAGTTTTAAAAAAAAAACAACAATCCTGGCTGAACATGAAACAAAGTCAACACTGATGTGTAATATTTTTGTTTTAAACCGTTTCCCATACCTAGACATTAGGTACTCGTATCATGAGTCCACTAAGAAGTTAAGAAAATTTCTGAATCTCAAAATCTACAAAATGCATGTGAAATGCTTTTTGATTTTTTTTTTTTTTTTAATCCTCACCTGAGGATATTTTTTTTCATTTTTTTTCAGAGAGCGTGGAAGGGTGAGAGAGAGAGAAGAATATCAGTGTGAGATCCGTTTCCTCCTGAACAAGCCCCGATGGGGCCAGGGATAGAGCTGCAACCCAAGTACGTGCCCTTGACTGGGAATTGAACCCGGGACCCTTCAATCCATAGGTCAATGCTCTAACCACTGAGCTAAAATGGCTAGGGCGCTTTTTGATTTTTTATTACTATCCCAGAAACTAGAGAGTCAAGAGGGAAAATGAATTAGTATATGTTTATTTGTTGCTAATGAACACCATCTCACAAATTACATGTGTTGAGGTGATCGTGCAGACAGTTGGAGCATCTGTTGACAATGAGAAATAGATGGAAGTTTAGGAAAGAGCTGCTGCACTGCAAGAGGTGCAGTTATTCAATCCAGAGCCACTTCCTAAATAAAGCCTTAGAATTTTTTATGTAAATTGTCAAGGCTTAAACTGGATATTATCTTAGTGGCTTAAAACTCTGCAAAATTAGAAATCTGCTGGGATGAAATCAGTGACTAATGAAAAAAAACATAAATTCTCTTCCACCGCCAGGTGTCTTTTTGTTTCATCAATTGAAATAAATTGTTCAAAAATATCTTATGTCTGCATTAAGATGCTAACAACTCCCTAGGAAATGAAGTGTTGCACTGTTGTGGAGCTAAGGACCCTCTATGTTGAGAATAACAAAGAACAATGGCTTCCTCAGTCAAGCCCAAACGCACTACTGCTGCTGTTGCTGAAACAGAAACAAACAAACACTGAGGTGGAAAGCTTACCCAGGTCTCTGCTGAAGACTGTATCAAGCCCTAGCTGATCTGGCTCAGTGGTTAGAGAGTCAACCCAAGTACTGAAGGGTCCCAGGTTCGATTGTGACCAAAGGCATGTACCTCGGTTGCAGGCTCGATCCTGGCCCCGGTCAGGGCATGTGCAGGAGGCAACCAATGTGTCTCTCTCATATCGATGTTTCTTTCTCTCTCTCTCCCTTTCACTCTCTCTGAAAAGCAATGGAAAAAATATCCTCTCGTGAGGATTTAAAAAAAAGGCTGTATCAACTCATGCTCTATGGTTCCAGAAAAGTTATCTTTTTTTCAAAGATGGAAGTTATCTTTTCATGGAAAATTATAAATAGTAGTATCAAGATCATGTTAATACTCTGAAAAATATAATATCCTATAGTTTCTCAAATGCTTTCATTTTCATTATTATATTCAATAGCTACTAGGGAGGCAGAGAGAAGTATTATTTATTTTTTACTGATAATACAAAGGCTAATTTATATCATGTAATGAATAGTTAAAGGGCATTGGGAATATTTATCCTAGAGAAGGTAAGTCTCAAATGGACATAAACTTTTTTAAAAGAATTATACCTGTTTTCTATAATATTAGCAATAAAATGCAGGTCAAAGACACAGGATATAAGAATAATAATTTAGGCACAGCACAAGGAAGGGTTTCTGAGAATCAGAGCTCTCTAAATATGGAATAAGCTGCCTATTGAGATATGGAGATCCTTATCATTGAGAACGTTCAGGCAAAAGCTAGGTGACTAATAACTGGCAAATAGATTATAGAAGAAAGGCAGGCATTAGATGGGAACAGTGGGACTAAAGAGACTATGTTCCCATCCAACTTACAGAGTCTATGAACTGAAAATGCGTAGTTGATTAAACCATTAGTTAATTAAAATATATTCACTTGCCAAGTTGTCAATTATTCATTATTATTGTACCTTTACAACACACAGAACACCTTCATTGGTTTCTTTGTCTGTACTGATTTTGAAATGCCCATTTTCATTGCCCTTTAAGATGGTAAAATTGGCTCTCCAGTTGGCACTGTCGGGTAAATCTTTATCTTCTATAGGTAGCCGTAAGATTTCCACATTGTATGTATTTTCCTCTACTGATGTTTCATACTGAAACAGAAAAAACTCATTAAAAATACTTTATAAAGAAAACTTTTACAAAGAAAGTAAAATGTTTCTTTTACTCCAAAAGTACTTTGTTCTTAGACTTTTTGCCTAGATTATTTTAAAACCAAGAATCTCAAATAATATTGTTTCATGAAGACATCTTTTAAATGAAAGAAGAATTTCATTACAAATGGAGACTAATGTTATTGGCCTTTAACAAGATTGGTCAGTAATATAAATACCACTATGAATAAATAAAACAGACTTAGACTCTACTATTTAATTTTATTAAAAAAATAAACATATATACTTCAAAGCATAGTAAATACTTATTAATTCAGATTAAATAACAAATGACAATAGATGAGATAGATTTTGGAATTATGTACTTACAGCATTTTGTCTGAAAACAGGTGCATTGTCATTTGAATCTGCTACTGTGATTAGGCAAGTTGATGTACCTATCAATCCAAAAAACTGACCATCCATGTCTTGTACTTTCAGTATCAATTTGTACTTGTCTGCAACCTTCAAACAAAGCAAATATTTAATTAGTTTTGTGGAACTTTGTTTAGATTTATAAATGAAATTTTAACTGACACTCTTCTATTTGTGTGTATCTATGCTTTTATTTCCATATTTGCATATACTCTAAGAATTTGGTAGACAGGGGTAAAGCTGAAAAGGCAGGCAGAGGTTAAGGTATAAAGAGTCATACTTATGCCTTTAAATGACAGGTAATAAGGAAAGGTTTTCTTGAAGTTGTAGGAGGAGCAAAAATAAGAGCATTTTTAAGTTTTCAAAAGAATATTCTTAAAGAAAGTTGAGCAGAATTTGGAGTAGGCTGATGTGAAAGTCAAAGACACCCGTTAAAGAGCTCCTAAAACAGTCTAAGCAGGTGGTGCAAAGCTGAGGCAGAGTAAGGGTGACAGGGAAGTTAGCTGGGAGTCAGAATTAGAGTAAAACTTGAAAACAGATTCTATATACAAGTGAAGAGAGAAAGAAGCGTTGAGAATGATGCTCAGTTATCCTACTTGGATAAACAGGCAGACAGGGTTATCACCAACCAATACAGAAAATTCAGAAGAGACAGTTCTCTGAGGAAGTGAATGCTAGCAAGGTCACAAGGAGGGGCAAAAACAATGAGTTTTCTTTGGCATATATTGAATTTTGCCTGCCTATGGGAAATCTCCAGAAGGCATCAGAAGGCACAAGAAAGGTCCAGAAGGCATCTTGGTATGTGGCCCATACTTATGGGAGAGGTCATAACCAGAAGTACCGATCTGGGAATCACCAGTATGTAGACGGAGGTTGAAATTATGGCAGGAATCAGATATCTAGGAGAGGTTACAGGATGAGAGGAGCTGAGGATATAAGGGACAATAGCATTTCAACAGCTGAGGATATAAATGGGAAATAAGAAGACTAAGCAAAGGGCACTAAAAACAAAAGATGAAAGCAGCAGGAAAAAAAACAGAAATCCAAGGAACGAGAGAGTTTCAGTGGTTGACAACAGAGACGTATGTAACTGGGGTTTGGCAATTAGGAAATCACTGTTGACTTCTGGGAATGGAGTTTTGCAGATGGTGTGTTGATGATGAAATGGAGTCATTAGTTTGTGATACAATCATCTCTGTTGCCTTTCTCTTCTATCTTACTATTCTTTAGCCACTCCTTTTGTTGTTTAAATTTTCTTCATTTTCTGTTTCCCTCTATCTCATCCCCAGGTTTCATTTCACTTATTTCCCTTCCAGATTGGAAGTCAACATTCCCACCCTAAAAGGCTGCACCCAGAAGCTCCAGGATCCTGATAGCCTGCTTTTCCTTCCTTGAAATGCAGTTTCTTTACCTCCCTTGTTAATTTCTCCCTGTGTTATTCCTCACAAAATCCTGTTAGATTTTGACCGCCCCCCCAAAGCTGTATCTTACAAGCTATGCATCTTTAAATTATTTTTTCTAAATCTCATTTTTCAATCTGTAAAAAATGAGGAGGTATCCTTGTTTTCACCTGGTTACCACATCATCTCTACATAGCACGCTGATGCAAAAGCACATTCATGTTGTCCCCTTCAAACTGTCCCATTTATTATTACCATCATGTGCTTTATCACATAAAATGTCCTGCCTGCACAAATGCATAACAAAGCCAAAATTAATAAAACATCTGTACGACTTTTGATTCTTTTTTATAAGTTCTCACCATCCTCTCACCATTTTCTTTGGCATCAAATCTCATTAATGTCTTCTTTTTAATACCTGTCTCAGTCACATTGATCCTTATATTTATGTTATTCTAGTTGTAGTGGGAAGGACTTAAGTGTTTCAATAAAGCTATTTTTACATATGAAATTGATTCATCTGCCTCAGTCAATAATACATGACTCAGAGTTAAATATAGGCTAACAAAATCAAGTCAATCCATCTTTCTGACTCATATTTCTCCTTATAGATTGACTATAGCACCTGTCTAGTCAAACAAGGAAATTAGAAAAATCAAGTAAAATTATGCATAAAGAATTTGAATATAATGTGCTATATATATGACAATATGCTATTACTATCATCCAAACAGTGTTACAGAATTTTAATAATCCATAAGCCTTACCTCAACTAATCCTCTCCAGATAAAAAACACATATCTATAATAACTGGATAGGGATCAGGGTATGATCTATACTCATGAAAAAAACACACACCAAATTGTCCTTTATGAGAATTTAATTCTTTACTGAGCTAGAACCAACTAGACACACACAATAAAAAAATAATATTTAATAATAATAACTTTCATATGAAATATCTTTTGCTCCCACACCTTCTAAATTCCAATTGATCTGTATTTCTATTCCTTCTGGCTTCTCTGACATAAAGAAATAGGTAACATGGTCAAGAATTCCTATTATCTTATGCCTAAATAAAATTAAAACTCAATCCAAAGAAGAGCAAAGTACAGTAAGTGGTAAAGAAAAGAGGGCCTCAACTTCCAGTAAAAAGACATCCTACAGAGTGTGGAAGCTACCTCTCTGTCCAAATATTGAGAGACGATGGTGATTGCGCCTGTGGTGGGATGCACAGCAAAGAGCCCAGGTGATCTTGGTATCTGCTCCATAATGCTATACTTCAGGCGCGTGTGCATCGTGTCTGGTTCATCTCTGTCCGTGGCGCAGACCACTCCCACTGTAGTACCTACATGTTTTAACAAAAAGTGTTTAATTTCCAGAATTGTTAAATATGCTTAGGAGTATCTGCATTTTTCAAGTTTTAACAGTGATGGTGGAAACCTTATTTAAAATGTATTTCTTACCAGAGGTAGTCCATCTTTAGCTAATACTGATGCAGATGACTTCAAATTTATAATATAAAACACTTTGATGCTGAAAATCAAGGTATACTTTTACTCTGCTCACAGATCAAAATGTTTGATAGTAAATTACTAAAAACTTATTTAAAAGGCATTCCAAAATATTTTCAACACATATTCCCACATACTGCAATTACAAACCTGGTGAGAGAGATAAACCATGGCTCCTGAGTAAATCAGACTTTTTTTAATTAAACTTCTGATAATTAAATCAAGAATGATTTGGGGTATATTTGTATAGATGGTCAAGTTGACCTTTCACAATGCAGTCTCCCTTGTATGATGTTTTTGTTGTTGGGTAGTCTCTGATTTGCCTCATTCATTTCCACCAGCTTAGTATCCACACACCACTGACCTCTGTCCCACTTAATCCTTAGGAAGCAATTTCATTACATTTTCCATTTAGAGAGAATTTGTCATCTGTATGGAATATAAGAATATTGCCCTGGTAAAGGATCTCAGGTATCGGAGACTACACACAGGTGGTGTATTTATAGTGCAAGGCTAGTGCTCCAATGCCAATGAAAATGTAATGCATAGATCTACTCTGCCTATAGCACTATCTGCAAGGCTGGCCTGAGGAACAACACATAGACACATAAAACCACACACATATTGAAATGCTATATTTGAAGGTAATAAAAGCCAGTAAAACTTTTAACACAAGAATATATTAGTTTTAAATAATTTTGTTACTATAAAATATCCTTAAAGCTTATATATATGTACATGTGTGCATATACATGTAAATGAATAAACATATATAGTATATTTGTATATTTTTTATATATATACATTTTATATATTTATATATATTACATATAGTAGAGCATGTCCAAATGCATACTTATAACTAATGATAAGATTTCTGCCATGGACCATGAAGGCATGAAGTAATAATCTTTTTACCATAAGATAATAAATGTTATTTAACTATCTTTTTATAGAAAAAAGTTTATGATCTTTGTAAGACATAACATTTTCTTCCTACAGTTTTACTGGTAGTCAGGAAGACAAAAACACTATTTTAACTCTCTAAATAGGGAACTGCTTTACTTATCACACAAAATCTTCCTAAAAATCTTGAAAATTCCTTTCCATACGTGTTATACTTTAATATTAATTGAGCACCCTTTGTCCAAACCATCTGTGCGTGACTTAAGGCAAACTCAAAAGCACCTGTTAGAGTATCACAGCCTTAACTGGTCTGAACCTACTGGTGTGAGATGCGTACAATGCCCTGGGCTGATCTGGGCATCTATGTGTTTGCCTTTGATTCTTCTGTCACTACTGATGAGAACAAAATCCTCAAGAAAGAATTTGAAACCAATCATCTCTCTTTGAGGAAAAAATGGAACAGAGTCATAGACTTGTGAAGCTGAAAACATTATAGATCATTTAATGTAATTAACTCATTTTACAGGTCAGAGAACTCAAAAGGACTTCCATGAGTTCCCACGGCGAGTTTTATAATAGACCCTGAAACCAAAACCGGGTTTCCCACCCGGCCGGAGCGCAGACCCATGACCCAGGAGACTGGGGTTCGATGCCCGGGAAGGGCAGATGCTGTAAAATATATAGGGGACTAGCACGTTTAATTACGCAGTGAGGGCCTAAGTAACTAGCAGAAACCTTCCTAGGCGCGTTAGCGAAGTCACCCTTTATGGCTGAGTCCACGCCCTCTCAACTTCATTGTGAGTGGCTAGTCTCCACATTGCAAGTCTCGGAAGACATCATGAAAGCCCCATTAAAATATCCTTAATACGTAAAGGACAATTTTAAGTAGATTAAAACAACATAATTAAGAAACAGATCAACACTAAAGGGGAAAAAAAGAGCAAAGAAAATGAGCATAAATTTCATCCAAAAAAATTACAAATGGCCAAAGAAAACATGCACAAAAAAGTTAAAAAAACAAACAACAGTCTTGCCTTACATACCAAGCCTGCTGCTCTCCGGGACTTGGAAGCTGTAAGTGGGCTCCGTGAAGACCGGGGCGTTGTCGTTCTCATCCTCCACCCGGATGGGCAGCGGGAGGGGCAGGTCTGCCGAGTAGCCGTCGGCGGTGGCCGCGTAGGCGATCAGCTGCAAAACAGGGACAGCGGGTGTGTGGCGCCGCAGAAGGCTCCCGCGGGAGTGCGCTGTGCTTCCCCTGCCGCCTTCCTCACAACCCCTCAATAAGAACTCGCTGCACTTCCAGAAAGTGCTTCTTAATCATCAAAGTATCAGACGGAGAAGCGCTTTCCGTAAAGAGCATCCAGCATTTGGTAGCAATGTCTGCACGTCAAATAAAGTTTCAGAGCGCAGCGAGGTTGTGGACAGCTCTGTAGATTATTAGACTGAGGAGTTCAATGGGAATTCAGAGGCTTGGGTTACAGTACTTATTCATCCCATAACCAGAAAGTGGTACTGGAGAAGACAATGAAACTCACTGCAACGGGGAAAATCCCTACTGCATCATTAAATAAAGCAGCGATTTCCAATCTTGGAATTACCAAGCCCTTTTACTGTTTTACCTCATAGATCACATATTTTAAGAGGTTTTTTTTTAACAAAATCCATTTACTGATTTCTGCATTGCTAAGTAAAGGCACTGTAATGTTAAAGATAATGTATTTCTATTTAGCATGTGATTATAACGCTGAGTTGAAAATTTTCTAACGAAAAAACTAAGAAATGCTGTGTGGTGGACATCAGGTCACATCTGTTTACCAAGATCTCTTCCTTCTTCTAGGAAGAGAATCTCTTTTTTCTATGGGGAATCACTGTCCCTGCACCACATGGATGACCACATGACCCCATAGCATTTATTACAGTGCACTGAAAATTGTCTGAGTTATTCCCCATTGACTATAAGCCCTTCCATATCAGAATGCTGGCTTATTAACCTTTGTTTGCATTTAGTTTCCCACTTTTGCTTCCTTATGTAGTTGTCAGACATAATCAGAGATCATAAAAGTGGAAGAAAGACAAAAGAAGTAGTTAGAGCAGACCAGGGAACACTGTGTCCATGTCCTGGAGAGAGGAAATTGTACCATGACCAGAAAGAGTATCTCATAAGCAAAAACATCCATTCAAAACTTACTGGGATTTACATTCAAATACAATTAAAACTCTTCTCTTCATTTCAGGCAACAACAGAAGTTGAGGTGAAAAGCAGAAAGTATTCCAAAATATTGCATAATCTATTTCCTTTCACTTTATGATACTCTCTGAAAAGAGAGTGCAAGAAGACAGGAAAGAGGAGATGGAATATCAGAAGAAGCAATGTAATCAGTAAAGTCATGTATATCAATAAAACTCCTACATCAAAAACATCATATTCTTCACGATCCACTGGCCGAGTACAATATAGATTTCCAGTGTCTCTTTCTATGAAAAACAAATTTAAAGGTTCTTGGTCTACTCCACGTCCACTTATTGAATAGAAGACAGTATAGTTCTGTGCTGCATCAGACTGAACCTAAAAGGAAAAATATACATGTAAAAAAATTTAAAGTAAATTCTGTTAAATTGCTAGTTTTAAAAAAATGCAGCTTATGTGTTTATATTTTTATTTTAAGGAGATAACTAAAAATAATCAAGTGTCACACAAAGCAGTAACAAACATTTGGCAAAAGATCCTTTTTAAACTGCTCAAATTTAAGAAAAACAATGTTCAACATAAACAGTAACCAAAGAAAATATGATTACAAACAATAGGCATAATTTTACATTTAGTGATTTGGGAAAGGTAGAAAAGAACAGTAATATCCATTGTTGGCAAGAGCGAGGCAAACTGGAACTCTCATATACGGTGAAAGGAATGACAATTGAAATGTTCCTTAGGAGGAAAATGACAAAAACTAAAAGAATGAGCTATGAGAATAAACAGGGGAGACTTTTCCTGGTGGAGGAAACAGGAAGTGCAAAGGGACCAGGGTAGGGTTGTGCCTGGCGTGTTCAAGGAGCAGCAAGAAAGCCACTGCAGTTGGGAGAGCTGGGGAAAGGAGTAGGAGATAAAGAAGAATGCAGTAATAGGGGCCACATCGGCTAAGTGATTCCAAGGATGTGGCCTATTCCTTGGAGCCAGATGAAGAGGTGATATTATCTGATTTATATTTTAAAAAGATAATACTTGGTGTTTTGTTAAAACTAGACTTGGATGGATGCGTAAGGGAAGAAACAGGAAGACCATTTAGAAAGTTACTTCAATAATTCAGGGGCAAGTGATAGCTTGTTAGGCTAGCATAGTAGCAGCAGAGGTGGTGACAAGTGCTTAGATTCTGATTATAATTTGAAGATACAGTCAACAGGATTTGCCAATGGGTCGAATGTGTGGTGCTAAGGTGGAAGCTGAGGAGGACACAAGCTCAGAGGTGTCTGCAGAGTAAGTGACTGGATAAAAAAGCTGTGGTTGCCCTGGCTGGTGTGTTTCAGTTGGTTGGAGCATCAACGGGTACAACAAAAGTTGGCAGGTTTGATTCCAGGTCAGGGCACATACCCAAGTTTCAGGTTTGATCCCCTATGGGAGACAATAAATCAATGTTTCTCTCTCTCTCCCTCTCTCTCTCTCAAATCAATTAATAAAATTTTTTTTTTTTTAATTTAGAAAAGTAAAAAGATTTGGTATATTTATGCAATAGAATACTACTCAGCCATAAAAAATTTTTTAAAAAAGCAAGAAATCATGCCTTCTGCAACCTCATGGATAAACCTGGAGATTACTATGCCAAGTGAAATAAGCCACTCAGAGAAAGAAAAGTACCATATGATTTCACTTATATGTGGCATCGAACAAAAAAAAATAAACAAACAAAATAGAAACAGACTCATACAGACTGATAGCTATCAGAGGGGAGGGGTTTGGGGGGCTGGGTGAAAAAGGTAAAGAGATTAAGAAAAAAAAAACTTGTGGACACAGACAACAGTAATGGTGATTACCAGAGGGAAAGGTGGGTGAGGGAGATAGAAGAGAACAAAGGGGATAAATGGTAATGGAAGGAGACTTGACTTTGGGTCTTGAGCACACAATACAATATGCAGATGCTGTAGTATAGAATTGTGCACCTGAAACCTATATAACTTTATCAACCAATGTCACCCCAATAAATTCAATAAATTTTTTTAAAAGAAAGTAATAATAAAAAACAATGGAGCACAATGAAATATACAGATGATGCATCATAGAATTGCACATTTAAACCTATATTTTATTAATGTCATCCTAGTAAATTTAATAAAAAATTAATATTCTCAAAATAGATCTTTGTTAGTATTAGAATTTATGGCCGAACACAAAACTTTCCTAAAGAAAGACATTTTTTTGCCTCCCTTGCAATTAATCTTGGCCACATGAAAAGCTGAGGCCTATGGCATGTGAACAAAAATAATATGTGCAAGATCCAGACTGTGCTCTAGGAGGCTGAAGAGTTGTTCATCCATTTGGACACATCAATGAGCCACCTTGAATCTGACTTCAGTTCTAGCTTCAGTACTTAGAGCAGTGTCTTTCACAGTATATAGCAGATATTCAATAACTAGCTGCTAAATGAAGGAATAAACTAATAAAGAACATTTAATGGCTACAGTCTTTCTCATATTATTATTAGTATTTTAGTAATTTTTCTCATTTTACTTGCTTTTATTATTCTATTTATGGCTTTATGAATATCTTCAATCAAATATGTTTTTAAAAGGTTTAAAGAGTTCTTAAATTTGAATAAAACAGACTTTTGAAATTGAAACACTCCCAATCAGAAGGAATGCAGAACCTACTTGTTGAAGAAACAAAGGGAAAGGGCCCAAGGAATTCTCTTGCATTGAACAGGGAATAGGTGCCCATCTCCTCTTGGCCCGCCTGAGAACAGTTTCTTTAGTGTGTCTTTTCCTCAGTACCTGAATTTAGAGAAAGAAAATTAAGTAAACAAAAGCATCACAGCCTACTCTGTTGTAAGATAATGGAGAGCCCATACACCTAACACGTCCCTTGAGGGTCAGTCTTAAGAATGTCCATGCAAAAGCTAAAGACCAGATAATAGGGTCTTTTTCATTAAAAGGGTAAGAAAGAATGTATCTAGACTGCAAAGGTTTCATAAACTACACAGTTTCCTTTTGCATACCTTTTTAACACTGACCATACTCTCAGGGTAGGAAAATCATCACTGTACTCTTAGTTCCTCTTGTTCTGTCCCAGAGACTAGGAACACATCCTCTCTGGAACAATCTATAAGCAGCACTTACTTGTTCCTTCTGCAAAAACCTCATACTCTCATGTGGACCAGAGCAAGAAAATGAGCATTGGTCGTTGCCTTAACACTCATTCTGCACTGTCCAATATGGTAGCCCTAGCCATATATGACTATTTAAATTTAAATTAATTAGAATTAAGTAAAATATAAAATTCCATCCTTTAGTCCCACTAGCCACATGCCAACTGCTCAGTAGCCATTACTAGTGGGCTACCGTATCAGCCAGTGCAGATTTTCAAACATTTCCATCATTGCAAAACATTCTATGGGACTTTATAGTGATTTCCATCTCATTTCATGGTATAGCCAAGAAGACATTTTATTAAACATTTATTAAAGTGCTAAGCAATTATTTGAATTAGCTTTATCATTAATACACTTAACATCGATGAGTCATAATCCAGTCTAAACATTTCATCATTTCTGTGACTACTTTCACAACCCATTCGTTTCTCATGATGTGGAATCTAGAACTGCAATGAACGACCCCCTCAGTTATGGTCAATACCGTGCCAAACACCCTCTTCTTCCTCCTTATACACACTCCAGGATTTCAATGCTATTTTAACACCAGAACCACTGTGGGTACTTGAAGTCAACCTCCTATTCACGGGAGCCACTGCTCTTAACATTAACTTAACAAACACGTGTTAACTATGGGTGGGTCAGGTATTACTTGAGGCTATAAGCAAAAAGGTGCTCCATTCGTGCCCTCAGACAACTACAGATAAATTGTTTGCGCTAATAAAAAACTCTGAATGTTGTAATAGAGGGGTAACCAAACTGCCACTGGCTCACAGAAGCAATTAGGCTTTAGTGGTACAAGAAGCCTTCACAGAAGAGGTGTCAGTTAGATTTAACAAAGCGAAATCCCAGTTTTAGCCAGTGCTAAGAAAGAGGGGAAAGGGAAAGTAAACACAAGGTAAGAAGAGAGAAGAGCAAGGGAGAGGAAAAAGTCCTATTTATCCTTTGGTCCTCTTTGCAATTAAATATATATATATATTTAAATAAAAAGAAAAACATACTTAAAAATATCAATGCATTTTAAATACCTTTTTCTGATGTTCCAGGAGCACAGTAATCTCCTTCTGGGTCTGTTTATTTGTGTCTGAAAGCCATATGGTGAATGATCTCTTCTGATCAGATAACACAACAGCACTGGCTGTGTATATAGACCCGTCATCTAGAACTCTAAAATCAGGGTCACTTGACTGGATGAGATTTGCAGACCTGAGGCACTCTTTCAAATTAACTGCAAGGGAAAATGTCCACTTGTAAAGTAAAAGTACATGCAAAATGAATAAATCATGTTAAAATAATTCTACAATCATTTTCAAAATCATAAAGCAGAATGAAATAAACCAATCACTTTGCATTAACCAAGTATCTTACCGAGTCTCTCTTTTTTTAATTTATCTTTATTGTTGAAAGTATTACAGATGTCCTGTTTTATTCCCCATTCACCCCTTCTACCTGGCTCGCCCACCCCCCACCTCAGGCCTTCACCACACTATTGTGCTCTTTTGCTAGAGCTCTTAGGTTCCAAGTTTCTGTGGGTTAGACATTACTTTTGCTTTCAAGGGACTATGATGAGGTCACATTATTGTAATATGGTCAATTGTCTCAGTCAAACTATAGAAAACATCCATTTAGACACAGATAAACGAGACTCCTAATGACAAACATGAGTCTCCATGGTTATGGGTATAACAAAGGCAGGACAGTGCGAACAGCCCACCTGTGCAGGAGGAATTAGGGGGTCCCCTGAGTGTAGCAAGTCGGAAAACTAGCGCACACAGCTGAAAGCAGATGTTTCACGATTGCCATGTGCCAGTGATTCGAAGCATCAGTGATAAAACAGTCCTCCAACAAAAAAAGAATGTTTTTGGTCTAAGTCCTAACCAATGCTAATATTAGTTTTAATTTTTAATAATGTAAGTCTCAAAGAGCACTTATTATTACTTACCATTTAGAAAATGTTATATTCAAGAGGGAAATTAATGCAGAGAACTGCAGATCTACTACTGGCTCCTGAACANTATATAAGTTCTTTAGTTAATCTCTTCCTACTCAGCCACCCACCCCCGCCTTCCCTCTGAGAATGACCAGTCTGTTCCATGCTTCTATGTCTCTGGATCTATTTTGTGCATCGGTTTATTTTGTTCTTTAGACTCCAATTATAAGTGAGATCATGTGATACTTGACTGTCTCTGACTGGCTTGTTTCACTTAGCACAATATTCTCCAGGTCCTTCCATGCTGTCTCAAAGGGTAACGGATCCTTCTTTTTTACAGCTGCATAGTATTCCATGGTGTAAATGTCCCACAGCTTTTTNNACTGGCATTTAGAGTCACTGTTTCCTTGTTGATTTTTTGTCTGGAAGAGCTATTCAGTGAAGTCAGTGGGGTGTTAAAGTCCCCTACTATGAATATGTATTGCTATCTCTCCCTTAAAGTCCTCCAGAAGTTTTTTTATATGTTTAGGTGCCCCTGTATTGGGTACATATATGTTTACAGGGTCATATCCTCTCATTGGATTGATCCCGTTAGTATTATGTAGTGATCTTTCTTGTCTCTTGTTATGACCTTCATTTTGAAGTCTATTTTGCCAGATATGAGTATTGCTACCCCAGCTTTCTTTTTTGTTTCCATTTGCATTGAAATTTTTTTCCATCCCTTCACTCTCATCTTGTGTGAGTCTTTTGTTCTGAAGTGTTACCCAGTCTCTTTACTTGTATTTTTTTTAAAAGTATAATTTTCTTTCAGTTAAAAAAAAATCTTGATTGTATATTTGTATTAAATAGGGTGCTTTAAAACTTCATATGCTGCTAAAAGGCTTATGACAGTGATCTTCCTATAAAAGAGGTTTGTGTATTGTAATCATGACAAAACTGAGTTACACACCCCCACACACACCTGAATAAATAAACAGAAAAGTTCCCTGGACTATGAGTCTTTTAATATACTGTCTTCAGCCTAAACAGTGAGGCGGTGTATGAGTTAGGGAGACAGACAAGTAACACAAATTTATCTTCGAATTCTTCCCACTGGCACTTCTCTATGACACTCTCCTCCAACTCCCCACCCCAATACCACCCTACCCCCGGAGCTCACAGTTCTTTCTGTGTTCATATTTTTTCAAAACTCCCCACCAAAAGTCCACATGGGGTCTTCTCTCCCTGGGAATTTTGCCCTCTAATAAAAGGTAAGCACATATAAGTATCAGTTTAAGTGTTTTGATACTTATATCAAAATATCAAATCCATCCCATTCTTCAACTGCCTGCCTTAACAGAAACCAAACTGATAAATTAATAGTCACTTAAGTGATAACCTCTCCAAGAATTCATGTTACCCATTCTTAGTGTCTTCACTTTAATCCTAATCAGGTGGAAGCGTTTTGTCAAAAAGAAGCGAACATCTTTAGGAGTGATGGCCTCTCATCGTCACATTTTTAGCTGAATGATAACCTCTGGCCTATTTCCCTAACAGAATACCCCTGACCACTCTTCACTGTATTTCCTTTCTTTCTCCCCATAGGAATAAAAGTGACATTTGTTTAATAAAAGTAAATGAAGTACTATAACCAGAAATCACACACTTTGTTAAAAATCTATTTGGTATCTCTGGGACAAGCTGTATCTCTTTCTCAAAAAAAGTTATGATGCAATAAAATTTTAAAAAATCATGATGCTTTCCTCCAATATTCCCTGTACCACAGGGAAAGTCTGCCTGGGCAGAACTTCCCTACTGTTGGGAAAGTTTGAGGCTCCCTATTTTCTCATACAAATGGCTAAGTTCTGTTTTGAATGGAGTAGCTTACTTTGTTATGTTCCTCGATGCAGCCATAGCCTTGATAAAAAACCTGCTCTGATTCTCTCAGCTCCTTATCTGTAGTTCTTTAGTGCTACAGTCCTACAGCAACGAAGGGCTATATTCTACATGTAATTCTTTATGTAATTTTTAAACCCTCAAAACCTGAATGACCACAAAAGCGTGGCTTAGAACATCAGCACTAAAATCAACCACAGAATTCATTGGAGTTATAAAGAACAGAAACATATATTTAAATTATCTTGAATTGTATCTAATTATAAATATTCAGGCTAAATCCAAAATGCAAAGATTGCATAACCTGCTCTTTCCAGTTTAGGTAAACTAAATTTCTGTCTCAAAAATATTGTTTTGAAATTTCTCACCTCTGCCGACCATTCTGTCTGCCTCTAGTTTAGAAGGTATATTAAATGTCACCTTTTGGCAGGCTTCACAAGCAAAACTGAAGGCCTAGAATAAAAAAATTAAAGAACAAGGTCACATAAATATGGTACATAAAAAGAGCAAAGTTTTAGTTATGCAAGGTAAATAAGTTCTAGAGACTTGTATAGCATAATGCTTATAGTACAATGCTGTACTGTATACTTAAAATTAAGATAATAGTAAATTACGAGGATGGGAGGAAACTTTGGGAAGTAATGGATATGTTTACGGCACAGACTGTGGTGATGATTTCACAGATATATACTTATCTCCAAACTCATCAAGTTGTACCATTAAATATGTACAGCTTTGTGTACGTAAATCTTACCTCAGTAAAGTATTTTTTTAAACAGAATAAAGAACAAAACTACATGATCATCTCAACAGATGCAAAACAAACAATTGACAAAAGTTGAGGCCCATTTATGATTAACAACCCTCAACAAACTAGGATTAAAAGGGAACTTGCTCAACATGAGCAAGGCCATCTATGGAAAACTCATAACTAATATCACACTTAATGGAGGATTGCTTTCCTTTGACATGAGGAAGACAGTAATGCCTGCTCTCACCGCTTCCATTCAACACTGTATGAAGCTCTTCTAGCCAAGGCAATTACAGAAAAAAAAATAGAATTAAAGGCATCCAGACTGGGAAAGAAGTAAAATTGTCTCTATTTCCAGATGACATGACCTTGTACATAGGAAGTCCTAAGAAATCCACCAAGAATAATAATAATAATAAATGAGTTCAACAAGTTTGCATGATATAAGACCAAAATATGAAAGTCAGTTGTATTCCTGTAAACTAGTAATAAAAATATCAGAAAGCACAAGCAAACAATGCCATTCAGAATAGATAGTCCATCTTCATACATCAGAAGACGTAGTCCCAAAATACATCTATAGATTGAATACACTCTCCATCAAAATCCCAAATAGCTTTTTTTTTTTGCAGCAATTGAGCATTAATCCTTGTGGAAATGCAAGGGACCCGAGACCAAAATAAACTTGAAAAAGAAGAACAAAGTTGGAAAATTTACATTTTCCAATTTTAAAAGTTACTGCAAAGCTACAACAACTAAGACAGAGTAGTACTGGCATAAAGATAAACATATAGATAGATGGAATGAAACTGAAATCCCAAAACTAAGCACTTATACTTACAAATTAGGGTAAGCATGTAATAGTGTTAACCAAAAAGTCATTTTCAAAAAGTCACAATAAGATTGCTGTGACAATGAAGTAATAAGTTGTTTGAACTTAAAAAAATTCAACCATATTATATATGCTCAATTGCATATTGTTCCTAAGAATATAGTTATTCCCTTGGGGTGAAACATGGTTTTGCTCAATAATGCATCCACTGGAACAAATATATATATATGTACACATACATATAATTTTCAAAAATTTTTCAAAAATTTACAGATGTGGTTAGAGTCCTATGCTCTATTTCATTTTCATTTCTCTTCTCCAAGGAATATTTCCTTTTAAGTTGATGTCTATACTTCCTCTAAGTTTTTATACTTTTATCATATATGCATTATATATGCAGATGCACATAAATTACAAGCTAATATTGTGTGTAGTATGTGTCCATGTGCATCCTTCTGCATCTTGCTTTTTTCACTCAACAATATGTTTAAGATTATTCCAAGAATATATTACAGTTTATTTTGACTGTTTCCCTCTGATGCTAATTTAGGTTGTCTTCTCGTTTTCCATTTTTTCTATTATAAATTATATTGCAATGAACAACCTTGCAGGTACAAGACATCAGGATACATACCCACAGTAAAAACATATGAGCATCTCCAATCTCAGTAACTCTTGGCAAGCTGTTCTCCAAAGTACTAGTATCAATTGGTAGTAAGGCCCCCAGGTTATTAGATGTCTCTATTTCTCAAATCCTCTACTGCAATTAATTCTACTGGACATTAAAACTGTTGCCAATCTTATGGCTGTTGTTTTAATTTTCATTTTCTTAATTTCGACTAAGGCTGAGCACCGTTTTTTTGTGTTTACTTGACATTTATCTTCTATAAACTGTCTACTCCTCTCTTTTAATTATGTTTATATTAAGCTTATCCTTTTCAAATTATCTTTTATTTGCAGGCTTATGTGGGTTACTTTTTCACTCCTTTTTGTGGTATCTTTTGATAAACAGTGCTTCCATTTTAAAGCAACCAAATTTATTAATCATTTCTTTTAGTTTTTAGTCAAATTTATTAATAATTTCTTCTGGCTTACACTTTTGTATGTTAATAACTCTTCCTCTACCCTACCATAAATAGATTATCTGATATTTGTAACTGTAAAGTTACTTCCAGCTCCAAGGTACATGCCCTTGGAACCCAACCAGGGACCCTTCAGTCCAAGGGCCGACAGTCTAACCACTGACCCAAACTAGCTTGGGCTGGTTAGATTTTTTTTTTAGCCTTCTATTCTTCCACAATTTTTTTAATGATCAGCTGACCAAATTCCTTTTAGATTTTTTTTTTTATCCAGAAAATCTGCTTATTTTTATCAGCTCTAGTAGTTTGTCAAGATAGTTTTGAATCTCCCATGTAGCTAATCCTATAGCAAGTAAAATGGCAATTAGATTTTTATCTTACTTGTGTGCTTGCGAGTACCTCCAGTAGAATGCTGACTAAAAACCGTTATAGTGACCATTGTGGGATTGTTTTTAACTTTAAAGAGAATGTTTTTAGAATGTCAGCATTAATTCTGAGTCTTGTTTTCTTTCATTCATTCATTTTAAGTATGGTTCATTATATTAAGAAAGTTCATTCCCTTGTATTCCTAGTTTGCTCAGAATTTTTATAACAATAAATATAGTTACCTACTTGTTTTGAAATGAGCATATGTTTTTTCTCCCTATGTTAAAATACAATAATAGATTTTCTAATGTGAAGCCATCTTTCCACTTCTGTGATAAACTTTATAGGACATGATAATTTTTTAATACATTATTGCTTTCAATTTCTGCTACTTATTTTAGTATTTCAAATATACACCCATAAGTGAGATCAAGCTACTACTTTTCAACTTCATGCAAACCTCATAAAATGAGTTAACTTTTTTCTGTTCTTTGCAACAATTTACATAAAGAACAAATGATATGTTCTATATAATTATGGAAGAATTCACCTATCACAGGTCTGGGCCTAATGGATGTGAGTGAAAGTGTGTGTTTGGCTTCTAATTCAATATATTTAATGGTTCTAAGTCTATCTAAATTTTGTATACCTCCTCAAGTCAATTTTGGCAATTTGTATTTTGTAGGAAATTGCCTAACTCTGTTTTCAAATTAATTGGAATAATCTACTAACATTATTATTTACCTTTAAAACATCTGTCCTCTTGATAGCTACCCCTCCTTTTTATTCTTAATATTGATTGATCTGATACTGTTTTTTACTTGCTCACTCATAGCAAGGTTTGCCTATACTTTCAAACAAGAGCTTTTGGTTTTGTTCATTCTATTGCTTGTCTCTTTTTTTAAATGTTCTTTCTAAAACATAAATACAAAAGACTATATATAGCATAAGTAGATATTTTAAGAAATAATAAAATGAAAACTAGAGCATTCACTTTCAAGGTTACAAAATAAAACATTACTGTTATTTTCAAGGGCTCTCCCCAATTGTATTTTCTTCCCTCCCTTAAGAAGATGCAGGTTTATTTTGCTAATTTTGGGCTTTTAAATATATGCAGTCATATGCTTATTGTATACAGCTGAATTTCTTTGCTCAAACTCTGTTCATGAAATTTATCCATGCTGAGTATATAGCAGTAGTTTATTTTCATTGTTGTGTAGTACATTATTGGAAAGAATATACAATTAATTCATTAATACCATTTTCAAAGGGATGATATTCATACGCAGATTTCAGTTATATCATACTTCTTGAAACTAAAAGTGATTTGATACTACATTTGTGCGAATTAGATATATTATTGAAAATAAAGTAAAAATGTTAAGGGATTAGATTAGCAATGATGAACTAATGACTTTTAAAGATACTTTTAAAATAACTTTTATATAAAAGAGTGCCCAACAAAAACTACAACATACAAAAAGACTTTTTAAAAGATTGTCTATTGTAGTCTGGAAAAATAAATTGCTGTGGTTCATTTTACAGTACTACCCAAGTTTTATTAATGGTATTATAGAAGGCTTATCATACAAATCATTAAATACTGATAGAAAAATCTAATGCCGAAAGGAGAGTGAAAACTGAAGATGTTACTTGAGGTTGTTTCACTTTTGTACTGTTGTTCAGTTTTATAGTGAATATACAAGGTAGGCCTCTAAAAGGACACACTTTTTAATACAGGAAAATGAAGCTTAAGTAACTTGAATTTATGGAATGTCTTAAAAATAAAGACATTGTCTTGGCTGAGCTTAATAGTTACGGAATTTTAAATTCATATTTTTCCTATGGACACTGCCTTCTGCAAAATGGGAACATTATCTTCCAAACTCTTATCGCTTCAACTGTAAATTGTAATATTTACCACTCTGTGTTCTCAGTGCGGAGATGATCCTAGTAAATTTCCTTCTAACAAATTCTTTGCGAAATCGGATTCTAGTTAAATGAAAAGCATGATTAGCCATAAGTCACCCCTCAGGTGCCACATACAGAATACCAACTGCCAAGGGAATTACAACAGGCCAAAAAATGTGCCTGGGTTTATATGTAGTAAGTGGTTCAGAAGGTGACTCAGAATCCAGCTGTATCGCAATGAAAGCAGTAACACTCTTCTTTTGAAAAGGTGCCTGATAATGCACCGATCTAAATATATACTAAAACTTTGCCCTCCTTAAGATCATGGGTTTAATATAAACTAGTTCTCATTTACTTCCTTTATTTGCCTTAAGCTTTTTTCACTAACAAAAAAAATAATAACAAACATTATTGTACTCATTTTTATTTTAAAAAGATGAACATGCCAGCTGTTATCAAGAACTCCCCAAAAAGGCATTTCTGGTAAAGAAGCCACATTACACATTATTCTCTTTAATGCTACAAAATCTGAA